AAAAGACCTGAATTGTGTAATATCAACTCTAGAAATAGACAATTATATTAGCATGTTTATTCCTAAAGAAATATGTTTACAGTATTGTTAATATGTTCAGGACAAGGCGAGACCAATGTGTAAAAATAATCATCTTGTATTTAACATTATTGCGCAACTAATGATGGTTATAGTTATGGTAAACTGTTCTGCACAGTAGTTCTTCGATAGTTTGTCAGAAATGCATGATAATGTGGTACATGTAAACAAAGTATCAAATTTTAATCTAAACTGAAAAGGTTTAATAGAAAGATTTTGAATATTTAATTTTACAAGTTTTTGATTTTAAATTAATAAATTACTCTGTCATGTGGCGACTGACTCGCGTATATGCGCTAAAAGAGTTCGTCATGCCACGGACATAGCTCATCATTCATCTTTCATCATTCATGTTTGTGCTTAATAAAGAATAAACTAGTAAAATAATTTTCCCCTGGTTTCAAGTACTGTCAGTGCTTTGTTTTTGTATGATTTCTTGTTAATATTGAACACAATTTAGTTTCATTTGAAATAATTTACTATTTTTTTGAGAAAGGAAAGTCCGTGCCTAGGAGTAATACTGGTTTCTGTTTACAAATGTACATGTCATTTTAATCAGTAAATCAAGAATTTCGTGTACAGTTACAATCGTACAATTACGTGAAACCCGTGCTGGTCTACATTGCATCATGACAAGGCTTAAAAGTTTAGCTGTATGTAGTATCGCGCTATGTCACGTGTTCGGACAGTTGCAAGACAGGCAAGCATTAGCTCATGATTTGAGCGACAAGAAGACGGAAAGATCGGTCATCGCATCCTTATGAGACTAGACAGATGAACACCGTGAAAGGCTAGGGTATGTCAAATATTTTTGACTTTTAACAATTACATTGTTTTAATGTTTTGTTAATTTTTCAAAGCTCAGTTTTAACAAATTATAACGTAGGATGTGGTGTGTACAATACATTAAAACTACCACGTTCAAGGTAGCAAGAGTTTAAATGAAATCAGTAACGACGGGCGTCCGTTGCTGGGTGGTTAAATTTGTTGACTTCAAACCACTTTCCCCTTGCCGCTGTAAGTTAGAATACCCACATACTTTGCATTCTTTCATGTGAGGAAGCTATCCAGCTTGTATGTGTTACGTCGTAGATTTTATTCAGGTGCTCGTTCTTGCCTGAAATAATAAGGGCACCTTTGGTCTTTTCCACCAGTAAAGCTGAAATTTTGCCATATGGCCTATATTGTGTTGGTGCGACGTAAAACCCAATAAACGCGTTTTGGATTACGTCATTGGTTATGGTTTAAATGTAAGACATAAATTTACAGCTCATGTCCCAAGCTAAATAAAAAAACAAATTTGAGGTTGCGAAAAAGGTGAACTGTCAGCATTTTGATTCAAATGATCCCATAGCAAATGCTTAAAAAAATGTGCTAAGACACATTTTAACATTGATAACTGGACGAACGCTTTTATAACATGGGCACAAAATATAGCTGTTTCTTTATCACCAAACAGCTTCCGGAATAAGTTTGCAAATCCGGAATTTTCGCAAACTAAGGTGTTTTTTTCCACCAGTAAAGCTGAAATTTTGCCATATGGCCTATATTGTGTTGGTGCGACGTAAAACCCAATTAACGCGTCTTGGATTCCGCCATTGGTTATGGTTTAAATGGCAGACATAAACTTAGAGCTCATGTCCCAAGCTGAATAAAACAACAAATTGACCGTGGCGAGAATGGGGAACTGTCAGCATTTTGATTCAAAAGGTCACACAAAAATACTCCAAAAAGAATGTAAAGTAACATTGATAACTGGTCGAACGCTTTTATAAACATAGGCCGAAATTTAAGCTGTTTCTTTATTAAAGGTTTTTATAATAATAATAGTGATAATGATGATGATGATGTAGCTCCAAAATGACTTCATTAAGGATATGTGTACACATATGCATATTTCTTTTTTGAGCGAATGGCCCGTACAGAATATGATTCTGAAAACAGTTATAAGCTTGCTTAAATTTGCATCATCTCCTTCATAAAGTATGGTCAGGGAATCGCTTGCTACAAACGGCCTCTGTTCTTTATAGTAAGGCGTCCCTTTATCTTAAGAATAATGATTAGGGTCTTTGACAGTCATTTCAGTTCGTTAAAATTGTTTCAATTATTCCAAAACTGCTTTTCTTTTTTTCCTTTTATTGCAACACGAATTTTTTCAAATTTACATCAAAACACATCATATTCAATCTACTTAAATACTCAATTATTGATTTTCGTAGAAACATTACCGAATTGACAAATGTTAAATGCCTTAAGCTTGGAATATGAAACCAGAATAAAATTGCTATCAGCTAAAACATTTAAAACATGCATATTTGTGAGTAAAAATAAAAGGACGATAGTCAGTAGGCTGCAGTACTTTTCCCAGCTTTACATAGTTCCTGTGAGACGAAAGTTTAAAAGTTTATATTTATGCGTCGAAGACCCGAGTGAACTTAACTGTTTGTATTTTTTTGTAGAAAATCTATAGTAAGAGATTTACTCATACGCATGCCAGTGTTACAGAATTACCTTTTTCTACACAACAAAAAGATGACACATCATTTCCCACAACATAAATGCCCGTGCTTTTGGGATATAATACGATTAAAATTTGAAATACTATTTCAAAGATATATATTAAACAATAAACAAATCTGGGTTTATATTTACACGTTTAACATGTGTTTCTTTAGGTATCCTTATTTTCTCTATTTTATCGCCACATCAACGTTGTTTGTGCCGTATGGAGGCTGTAAAAAGTCGCCCCGTACATTAAATCAGAGATGTTATATTTCCGATCCTTAAAGATCGTTCAGCATGACATTATGTTGTGCTTGTGGTAATTTAGTTTTTTCTATTCGGCTATTTCATGTTGGGTGGTTCCAATATTCCTCACTTGAATACTGTTGTATCACCCTTAGGATATGTGGCCTGCTTTTTAAATTTGTCTTTTGACGTCTAATCTGTGATATGCAGGCTTCATAATCTCTGATCCCCTTTCAAAATTCCATTTTTATTATTTAGTTCCGTCCATTGTTATCTCGTTGAGGGCACACGCATTTTTTTACTTGGGGACCATATTCCGCTTTTCATGGAATGGCACTTACGTGTCACATTGAATGTTCTATGATAACCTCCATATGAACACATCTGCGGATGTTTCAAAATTCGAAATTGTACCAGTTCATGTTAAATGTTGAATTCTGCTTAAGCCGGTGCTATGGGGCGTGGACGGTATTTTGCACTTGACAGTACCGTCCATGAACAGGCTCAATCAAACCGAGCCTGCAACATTTCCAATTCTTTGGTGATTCTTATTTTCTCTATTTTTGTATTTTTGTTATTGTATGACATACATGTATATATTTCTACAAAATATCTCAGTCAATAATTTCAGGTAAAATAATAGTCAAGTGTTTAATGTTTTGATCGTTGTACACACAAGCCCTTATACTAGTATACTCCCAGTTTAACAGTAAACAAGAATAACTGTTATAACAGTTTCATTTTTTTAAAGTATTTCATTAATAGCACAGCCTTGCCCAATTTTAAGCAAATCTGCAGCTCTGCAAATGCGTAACGGAATCTGAAGTATATGAAAATAAGGTGAAAGAACGCAAACATGAAAACACGAAGAGACACAGTCTAAACATGCGAGGACAAAATGGAACAAAGACGAAAACGCAATAATGATCGACTTAAATTTATCGCGTTTTGTGTCATCGTACTTTTGCGTATTTGTGTTTTCGCGTCCCTTTGTGTTTTCAAGTTTTTATCTTTGCCCATCCGTCTTTGTCCTTTCGTGTATTCGATATTTTGCGTTATTCATATATAGATGATGGCCCTTACAGAACACCGTAGATATAAGTTTCAAAACATTACGAAACAAACCTTTAACAGACATCGACTGTCGCACCGCATAAGTGCATAATTGTAGTTTACGTCAGGTATAATTTTTACACGATATCTATGCAAATGATAACGGGGGCTATTTTGTATTCAGTTTAAAAAATAAGGGTATTAAATGTCATTTTATTAAAAACATTATAGACTTGAGTTGTAACTGAGTTTCTTTTGTGTCTTTTTTATCTTTTTAACTGTGACAAGAAAATGTACATCAGGATACATGACCATTGTTTGGGAGTAACTTTGGAAGAAAGAGAGAGAGAGAGAGAGAGAGAGAGGGAGAGAGAGAGGGAGGGAGAGAGGGAGAGAGAGAGAGAGAGAGAGAGAGAGAGAGAGAGATACAAAAGTAATCAAGCGGATAGAGGAGAAAGAATAAAATGTGTGTTTTATCAAATACTTGTACAACTGCTACAATACCATACTTAAGGAAAAAGTGAGGTAAGTTTTCTAGTTGAGTTTTACTTTACTATATTAGCAACCTGTTACGCGTTGGTTAGATCCTCGCTTAAGATGTGACAAGTCCAGGTTTCGAATCTCGGTCCCAGCTTTTTAATATTTTTTGGATGTTTAAAATGTTTTATATTTCTTGTTAATATATCTTTGAAGATCATGATTGTTATGTACATGTAAGTCTAAGAAGATGCCCTACTTATGGGCACTGGTTTAAGTTGTTACAATAGATGTGCCACTGTTCGGTGAATATGTGTGTATATTTTTACGCACAACTGCTTACTAAGGATGGAAGAATTTTAAAAGCAATTATCACTTATATATTATAATACAAATATGTTTTGTGGATAGATTTATATAAGCTTTTTTTTTATCAGAAGAAAGATAAAACTTTTTTAAAAAATATTTACTTATGAAAAAAGAGATATTTGGTATTTTTAAACTTCCTGGTCGATCATAAACGTTTTAAGTCATGTTAAGGTTATACCGGAGCATTTTCTATATTTTACTATTTATACATCTAGATGAAACATTTAGATGTAGGACTTGAACGATTGACGAACAGATTATAATCATAACCAACAATGATTTTGGCACTAGGACTTTCAGTTATTCTGTTTAGACGTAAGTAGTAATGTAATTTACATTTAAATAAATCTTTTTTATCAAATTGTTTATTTAAATCTTATTGATTACATGATAAAAATGAAGATTACTTTAAAGTGGTATTTCAAAATTGACCGTGTTGAAAAAATATAATCGTTTTATTATGTTTATCATAGAGAATAGTTTCTTATATACAACTGTGAAGTATTTTCATTATAATTATTAAAATTTTGCGAAATGATTATATCAACAATGTCGCTTATGATACATATAACTTTGTTAATGAAGCATTTTTAGCTCACCTGTCACAAAATGACATGGTGAGCTTTTGTGATCGCTTTCCGTCCGTCGTATGTCCGTAAACTTTTACTTTAAACGACATCTCCTCATAAACCGCTATGTCAATTTCATCCAAACTCCACAGGAATATTCCTTTAGTAGTCCTTTGGTAGTAAACTTTAAAAGTTTTTCAAAGAATTTAATTCCAAGCACAACTCTGGTTGCCATGGCAACCGAAAGAAAAAACTTAAAATATCTCCTTTCAGAAAACCGTTAGAGCTAGAGCTAACATATTTGGCATAAAACATCATCTAATCAGTGTCTACCAAGTTTGTTCAAATGAATGCCATGGGGTCAAAATTGGCCCCGCTCCGGGGTCTTTTCCTTATTTGTACATAGTAAAATCTTCTTTTGAAAACCCAAAATAGCTAGTGCATATTAATATTAATTAATTGATATTAAGCATGAAACATTTTCTAGTGGGGGTCTACCAAGTGTGTTCAAATAAAAACCCTTGGGTAAAAATTGGCCCCGCCTAAGGGGGCCATTGATTTTTCTTATTATATGTATGTTATACCCTCTTGCGTCCGTTCGTCCGTCCGTCTGTCTGTCTGTCTGTCCGTCTGTCCGTCCGTCCGTTAGCAATTTGGTTTCCGGAGCATAACTTAAGTTCCATTTGGCCCAAAACATTCAAACTTCATAGCATGATTACCCATATTGGGTAGAAGACCCTTATTGATTTTGGGGTCATAAGGTCAAAGGTCAAGGTCACTATCACCTTAAAACTGAAAACAGTTTCCGGAGCATAACTTAAGTTTCATTTGGCCAACAACATTCAAACTTCATAGGATGATTGTCCATATTGGATAGAAGACCCCTATTGATTTTGGGGTCACAAGGTCAAGGTCACTATCACCTTAAAACTGAAAACAGTTTCCGGAGCATAACTTAATTTCTATTTGGCCCACAGTATTCAAACTTTATAGGAGGATTGCTATTGGAAGGAGGTAATACTTTATTTAATTTATGTAATGTTTTACAAATGCTTCATCCTTAATATAAAAAAAACACTTTCGGGCATATAATGCTCCACCTAGCGGTGCTCTTGTTTGTATATAGTAAAATGTTAAGAAACTTAAATAGCTAGAACTTAGATATAAAGCATGAAACATCTTCTAATGGGTGTCTACGCAGTTTGTTCAAATAAAAGCCCTGGGGTTAAAATTTGCTAAGCCCCAGGCTTTTTTTTCCCTATATGTATACTGTAAAAATTTAAAATTCTTCTTTTAAAACCCAAAAGTGATAGAGCTAAGATAGGGTCTATATACAGGCGAGCGATTTCAGGGCCATGATGGCCCTCTTGTAATTAATTTCAACATTTACACGATAACAGGAAATAATGATAACAGGGATCATATCAGTTCAAAATAATGTTGATTTATTTGGCCTCATTTATATCTAATTAAAAAACATGTTATCGTTTCTGTTAACCTTATAATGATAAACAAGCACTTTCAATACAATTATACATTTCAGCCATAACAAGTGCAGAAAATATTACCTGCAACACTTTATGCATACGTGGTCCCGATATTACAACAGAGACATGTAACACAACTACTGATGAATGTTTATATGGCTGTAACGTTGGGTTCACTGGACCAAATTGCTCATATAAATGCCCAGATTCATGTTTACACCCAACAGATATTGAAACTGGGACATGTGACCATATATCTGGGGAATGTTTACATGGTTGCAAAAAGGGCTTTGCAGGACCAAACTGCTCGATTGAATGTCCAGGGAATTGTTTATCAGATGAAAGAGGCATGGAGATATGTAATGCAACTACAGAACAGTGTTTATTTGGATGTAAAGATGGATTCTATGGCTCAAACTGCACAAGAAAATGTTCTGATGAAGATGAACACTGCGAGCAATGTAGTGCAAAATATTTGGATATGTAAGTTTCTATTCTCATAAAAAATCGGTCTTTTTAGTATCACCGTTTTACAACAAAATATGAAAGTCTAAAGCTTTTCAAGCTAATTAAACGTCATTTCGCTAAAGATGTTAATTTGAAAGCACTATTTCGTACTTATCATAATACCCGACATACATTTTTGTGACATGTGTATATCGAAAGAAATAATCTTCAAATATGTGCCTTGATATTCATTTTATGTAAAGAAAATGTCGTTTTTAGTTTTAAAGTAGTATTTGTTTAGTCACTATGTATCATTCAAAAAAATAAATTGGCGAACAGACATTTGTTTTACGTTTGAACAGTTTTTAAATCTTTGGCAAATTTTATTTTAAATCTTATTCACTTATCAAAAAAAGTAGTGCAAATATGCTTTCAAATGGTAAATTTTGAACTCTGAACACTTCCATACATATACTTTGTTTTAACAAACATGCCACATAATCATTACGTTACTTTTAAATTGGGTTAACGAGATACTCCAAAATAATCTCTTATATATATGAGCATAGTGGACCAGCGATCCAGAGACCTATGGTTCGAGTCCCGAATGCGGCGTGCCGATATTCCGTGTGATTTTGTCTGTATACTTATATAGTTGAAATTAAACTGTGGTGTCATTTGTTGCAGCGGAATTGAATGTTACAAATGTAACAGGAACTTTTATCTGTCAGCTGGAAAATGTCGATCATGTAACCACTGGTGTTTTCCTTCTCTAAGTAATAATGAAACGACGTGTAGACAAGAGGATGGTTACTGTAATCATGGTTGCAAAACAGGACGGTATGGTTTCATGTGTGGAGTTCGCTGCAGTTCTACGTGTAAAGATAAGTGTCACAGGGAAACTGGTAAATACTATGCTTATTTGCATTAGGAAGTAGTTAATGTTTTGTTTATAAACAAAAGTTCTTGATATGTTTAGCTTTTGTTAATCGCAGAGAACAATTAACACGATACTGTCTATAAATCTCACCGGTCATTGAAAAGAATAGCTTGCGGTAGTTATATCCACTGTATAATATGACTAAAACCACTTTAATACACTCAACATTTAAATTAGAAAGACATGTCGTTATTAAAAATATTGTATTGTTATTTAAATGTGAGGTACTGTTGCGACCAGGTATATTTTGTTGTTAATCGTTAATTCTCAAAATCATTAACATTCCAAATCGGTTGAATCGTGTTGAATTAAATTGTACGGAAGCTTATCAGGGCCTCCACTTATCTAAAAGTTTCACGCCATATCAAAATGTTTCTTCTCGTTTTGACCAAAAACATTCCATGAAGACTTTATGATAAATACGTAATACATAAAACATTCCATGAATATGTTATGATTAATATGTAATACATAGAAGTTTTGAATAATTGCAGAAAAAGGTTAAGTGAATTACTTGAGCTATATGCCAATACGAGTAACGTCTTTGCGTCTTATTAAATACTACAACAAGTCCTGAAATCACGAAGTTTTGACAGGTTTTTTGTCAAAGAGACAAAAGCTTCAACCATATTGTGCAAAATTCAGTTGCAATGCCTAAAAGCTTCTCATCTTTGTCAGTTAAATTTATTGAGAAATGCAAAAACATCTTATCAATGCGAATAAAAGTATCTAAAGTCGATTTAGCTCAAAACATCTCATAAACTGTAGGCCATGATAAGCTTCCGTATTTACTCGCTTAAATCATATTAATGTTTTAAGTAACGCAACAAGCTTGTAGATGAATTCGTGTAACAGACCATAAAATGCACATATATTGAAAATCAAAGACCATTAACTAATAAAAATATTATCATTTAATATGGGCACATTCCTTTTTATATTTTGATATAATCAAAGTGAATGTTTTAGATCTTTGCTTATACCACCACTTTTAAACAGCAAGGAAAATCTACAGAGACATGTACAATGCTAATCAAACGTTTACATCCATGTTTTCTTGTGATGTTATTTTAACCAGACAGCAACAACTTTGGAGAACTTTGTGAAACTATTCAGGAACGAAGCATTTATTACCTAAATATAGTACGAAAAAGAAACGTATACTCTCGGTGTCGGTCAATTTACTTGAATATGTTTTGCTAATGATTACATACATATATTTCTTTTTTCTTAAAGGAATGTGTTTTGATTGTACATTTCCAAGCTATTGTGGACCAACTTGTGAAATACAATGTCAAGATGGTTGTTTACATCAACAATGTAATCAGTCTTGTCAATGTGTTAATGGGTGTACTGCTACCCATTGGGGAGAAACATGTTCGACCGTATGCAATTCAAACTGTATCAAACCATCTAGTTCTAATGAAAGAGCGTGCAACGCTTTGAATGGGACGTGCTTTTTAGGATGTGACGGAGAACGCTTCTGGAAAAGTCAGTGTAGTGAGCCATGTTTTAGTAACTGTGTCAACGGCACTTGTGAGCATTACACTGGAAATTGTAAAGATGGCTGCACGAGTAACAGAGTCTATGGCGGGCGATGTGAAAGGACGTGTAACAAGAACTGCAATGTTGGCACTTGCAAAAGAGAAGATGGATATTGTGATAAAGGTAATACTGTTTTTGATTAAATTTAAAGTCCCATCGATATTTGGTAATGGTCATTTAGCGACATTCCAGCTTTAATCGGAGAGGATTAGGCTAAGATGCCAATCCGTTTATTTCAGGCACTAGCGGGCAGCTGAGTTGACCCACCGATGACCCGTTAGCTAGCTGAAGAGCTTCCTCACTTGAAGGAACCAAGGTTCATGGCGGATTCAAACCCTTAACGTTTTGGGGCTGGTGGTTCGAAGTCAGCGACTATAACAACTTGTCAACGAAGGCCCTAAGTTTATATTGTTTGTATATTCGCTGTAAATGTGAAATGACTTTCTGCTTTCTGTAGAAACTACAATGATAATACATGTAACGAAAAAATCGTCTCATAGGTTGTAAAGAAGGAAGTTATGGTAACAATTGTGGAAATATATGCAGTGCAACATGTTTAAACCAAAAATGTAAAAGAGTTGATGGCAGCTGCACAGACGGGTGTATCTTTGGATATGAAGGACAGAAATGCGATACAGGTAAAACATTTACATTTTAATGTATGATTATCTAAAAGCTCTTAATAGACAAGTTAGTTGAATTATTGTTTACTTTATAATAGATATTTAAAACGTTTTTTCCAGTTGCGTTCATTTAAAGAAAACATCTTCCATTCAATTTCATAAGTGCTATGCTTCCCCTTTTCAATTACACAGTATCATATTTTCAACCAAGGCAAGTTCAAAATAAAGAGTAATACACGTCAACACTATGGCAAGTTTACAATATTTTATTGAAGTCTACTAGTTTCGGTCATTTATATGACCTTCAGCAGGACAATCATATTTTGATAAGCTGTCTGCAACGGACACAAATGTCGAGTAGTAAATTCTGTATATATAAAACTTGTTTTAACAGCAATAGGTTGCAGATTAATTTGTTATTTCCGGTATACTATTCAGGAAAGCCTGTTAGTTGGATTGACGGCCGAGGCAAAAATGCGTTTAACTCGGCGTTAAAAAATAAAAAGTAAAAACAATAAAACGAAGATTTGTTTAGTTCTTTGTCATCACTTCACCTTTATGAAGGACGAACGAAACGTGTGGATAGACCTTTATAGAGATATGACCTCTTTAATAAAACAAATCTTACCAGAAAACATTCCTGAAATAAACAAATTGTCATATTTCTGTCATGGTTTCCATTCATTTATAATTGACTTTTATGTTATCTTACTTACCCGTTCATAAACCATCTCTAGAATATTTCTTTAAGAAACAAAACCGGTTGACAAATCCTTACTTGGGCTTGCTATCAGCGGATGGGCCTTGTGTATCATTCTTCTGGCGTTTGTGATAATAACAACTGTAAGAAGAAGGCTGAGAAAGTCTAAAAGTAATGCATGTTTTAAATTGTATTCAATTTAATACTTGTATGATTTTCCTTAAAACAAAATACAACATTTCGACGCATTGTTATTTCAAGCAGCTCGTTTAGATTTTGATGATTTTTTAAAAATTTTATTTTTTAGATACATGGTAATATTGTATTGTATTGTGAGACTTAATAACTATGCAGATCAGTTGAAATATATATACATTGTAGGAATAATGTTTAAACTATTGATGCAAGTTGATGCAAATTTTGAAAATTTAAATTTAATGTTTATAGGGACCAAAACCAATTCAGAAGAGGATACACAAGCCCAAATAAGGTAAAATAAACCAATAAATGGTATATGATACCATTCGTTGACCTGCAAGCATGAAGAAAAACCTTTAACGGCATTAATTCTGTTTTTTATTGACATAATTAAGTTTTAAAGATATTCGATTTCCTAGCTCTGGATATAAGATAAATCTTTTGAAAGATGCTAATCGGTACCTATTCTTTCTTATCATAATATTCAACAATTTATGGGTACTTTTTTAACGTCAACGACAATATTTGTATACGTCGTTTGACGTCATTTCTAAATTGCATTAAAATACATTTTCTCATATTTGCAGTCATTTCTAATATCTACGTGGAATTGTATATAAATATTTTTCTGAGTTTTGGGCATAATAATAGTTTTGTTCTTTATATTCATCATATCTTTATAATGCATATTTATGGTATACAATATTTCGTCCAATGTATGTTGTTTTCAGCATTTTTAAAACAAAACAAAATAAAATATGTATGACTAATTCGTTATTAAAAGCTTGGTATCCGTCCAATTAGATTATACTGCAAATTTGTATCTTTAGACATATAAGTGATATTGAAAGTATGTATTTAACATATAGAACAAGCACATGTTATTATGTATTTATTTTACAAAATCATTTCTGCTAAACGACACTACTTTAAATGCGGTCACAATACATGTGCAGATAAATTTCCACTAGGAATATTAATTTTGTTTTCCTGTCTCTAGAAATCAGCAAGTATACACAACATTACAGCATGACCAAGATGAGAATGATGATAAGGCAAAGTATGAGGTGCTGAGACTTGGAAAAGGTACAAATTATCAAGTTGATTATCAACATGAATATCTAAACAATAATTAATTTATTAGATCATATTTTTTTAAATGTTTTTCCCCCTAATTTTCACAAGAAATATGTAACTGTTTTGAGATCTCAATATGTTATTGTTTGATTTTATTAACCTGTCAATTCCATACTGATTATACGGTCAATGCACAGAATATATTAATATTCGCTAAATGTTCGGTAAATTCCGTGAGATTTAAGCAGTAAGATATGATTAAATTCACCTGGTTTCTATGCATAAGTTACACTGACCGTTATAGCGCAATAGGGTAAACTACGGGTATATAATTTTTAAATGTCCTACGTGTTGTAAGATCGAGACAGCGTATGTCCAGGCATTTTTTTCTTATCATAACTATTTTCAAAATTTTTGAAGTTAATGTTGTAGTTTCTGTTTTAATAGGTGTTTGAACTTTTTTCTTAATACTATACTTTTGTATATAACATTGTTCAAGAATTAATAATATTCAAAATTCATTTGGGTTAAGATCAATAAATGTCATTTCAGTGCCGTAAAATACAATACAAAACGTGACAATTCAGTGTTTCTTAGTTGTTTCATATATTTGTGTAGAAAATTCTGAAACCCTTGACCTTTTTAAAAATATATTTAAATAAAAAAAATAAAAAAAAATAAGCTAAAAATAAATGACGTCAAAATTGTCAAAAAAAGGGGATCAACCCTGGGGACCTCTCATAATTGGGGTAATATTTTAAGCTTAGCTTTTGGGGTTTTTTAAAAAAAAATTAAAAGTGGGATTTTTCCCCAAACTTTTATTACCCCTTTTTTCTGTAAAATAAAGGAAAAAACCGAAGAGAAAATATTTTAAATATGTAATGTTTTCTATGCAGGTCTAAAAAAAACATACGTACAAAAAATTTTGAAAAAAGGGGTCCAATGAATGGGTGTAATTTTAAATAAAATTTAACTTTTGATGATTTTTTTAAAATTATGTCAACAAATTTTTGATTAATTAAAAAATTTTTATTGAAAAATAAAAAACAAAACATACGAAAAACATACAATTAAATGGTTTAAAAAATTGGAAAAGGGTTGCCCCACAAATTCCCATTTTAGCAAAGGGTTTCTTAAAAATTAATAAATATTGTTTTTAGTTTGAAGTAAAGTCAAGGCCTTTCTTCAATTTTTAAAAAAAATTTTCCTATAAAAGAATATTTTTATTTAATATTTTTGTAAAAACATTGGAAGAAAGGGCTTTTGCGAAAACAGGGGCTTGTGAAAAAATTTGAAAAAATACTAAAAACGGACAAATAAGTGATGCTGCTTTTGAGTTAAAATCTTTGAAAAAAATTGTAATTTGAAAAGAATTAAATTTTTAAAGTTTTTTTCAGTTTTTGTTGTAAAAAAATTAATTTTATAAATAAAACCGGATTGGGGAAACAAATTTATTCAAATTTTAGTGATTTTTACTAATAGTTTTCGCTTTTTATCGGAAATGCGGACTACCGCATACATAATAGACACCTATAAAGGCAAAAATGAAATAAAAATATGTAGACAAAGTACACGATGTGCACGTTTTATACGTTTTATGATATGGATTCACCGGAAGTAATTTTCGTTTAAAGAAGAACAACTAACGGATAAATGCTCAGATATATTTGTTTTTGCATCAAATATTTTAATAACGTGTCAAACGTTAAGGAATGTGTGTGCTGTTGTAATTAGATCAGGTTTTAGGTACACTATTCTTTGAATGTTTTATAATTACTTAGTAAGTGATTCTTTTATCTTTACCATGACGCTACTTAATGACATTACGAAAATGCCAAATTAAAGCTTTTAATCTTAAATTAAATAAATTCTTTAATTAAATCAAACTAAGGAAAATCAATGCAAAAATAAGTAAATATAAAAATCTTCTTACTTTAGAGAGGAAATATTAATGTTTTACATTATCGGTTTTCTTAAGACTGAAATGTTTACTTTGTACTAATTTTTGATCTGCAGTACTGTACAAAGGAAATTCTTGTAAGTGTTGAGAATGGTAATACATGGCGAGACAGACTGTCATAAACTTTATTTACATATCATAATTTGCTAGTAGTTTTTGTTTTGAGTATTGTCATTGCCATTCAATTTGCACTGTTCTGTTGTGATAAACATATGTGCCATCCTGTTCCCGTTACTTTTCGAACAGGAACCGTTTTAACCACGGCCGTTTAATAAACATGGTAGATGCGTATGTATTAAATGTCGCTTTGCTTAATGTTATTATTTTCTCAGATTCTGACGTATAGTTTGCAAGACAAATTTTTTTTTTTGATTTTTAGATTTACATTATATTGATATTCTACTTCGGTTACAATACTAAAATATCTGGTTGTTTATAAAAATCACATATTAGCTTGAAATTAGTGATTTCACAGATTGTGACGGTTATACAATACTTTCATTCTCTAAAACTCTAAGCTACATGCATCTAATGAACTCGCTGTCTTTGAAGCTTAGAATATATAATGCTTTGATATTGCTACAATAAAGCATATCTATCGATGTATGATAAATTATTACAGTAGAGATTGCTTTAGGTTATACATTCAGATTACCACATGTCAAACTTTCTTTAAGCTTAGAAATTTGTAGACATATTACACAGATTATTTCGTTTCTGGTGCCTAGAGACTATTTATGTAACATCATACTGGAACTAATGTTGTCTGTGGAATGAAAGTGTAGACAAATGTACAGAAGAATGATCTTGTTTCAGTTCGAGAGATTATACAGATAATGACAAATAGGATAAATATGAAGAAATAAACCACTTGATTTATATCGTAGGTCTAAGGACAAATTCTAAATCCCAGTTTTTCATAGAGTGCTTTTTTCCGATATAGTCAATGTCAATGGCCGTTGCAAAAATCTGTTACACATGTAATAAATACAATAATATAACATTACCCTTCTGACCGTTCCGATGGCAATGCTTAACTTTCTTTGCTAGGATTGTTACTAGGGTTAGTACCCATTTGTGTATAATCTTAAATAAGTTTTGGGGAAAAGTAACAAAAAAATAATAAATACTTGAACGAGGGTATAAAATTTTAAACCAAGAAGAAACATAGAAAAAATTTAAGGGGTTAAATGGAATAACAGAAAACGAGAATATAAAATTTTTCATTGGGTTTTTTTTATATAAATAAATCCTGTTTTTTTTTTGTACTTGTATTGTCATATCATATCAAGGCGGAGGATCCACCAAACTGAATTTCCTGGATAAGTAACAAGTGAATACCAAATTCGCAAGTAACCGACGTTGAAAAACAAACGACTTTAAACTAAATATGTTAGCTATCATTATTGACGGGAGAAATTTTGCCTAGATTGTAAATAGAATAAGCCACCTCTGGCTTTCTTATCGCTATTGGACTTACAACACAAACTGGCAATCGATGAAACAACTTTTGGGTTCAAATATGTATCATATTAAAACCCAAGGTTTAGCTTTTTGAAAATATACTTGTCAAAAATTACATAATTTTAAAACTTTAATGTTCGATTCTATTTGATCTGTGCTTGGGGCAGTGGGCGATAGATTTGCTATAAGATTGTAGCTGATTATACATTTTCAGATTTAAAAAGGATTGAATAATCAAAAAGCCTGGATTATATTTATAATCAGTAAGGTCGGAATATTGTACGCAAGTTATCGACCTGGTTATATTAAATGTGACTATATCGTAACAAATACATGATTTGTGAAACGAAAACTAAAAATTAAATATATAACATTAGAAATAGTATCTTTCCTATATGAGAGCTTATTACAGCAGAGCTAGATATTAATGTCAAACGTTAGAACATTTTGTTAGCTTTAAAGCACTATTAAGAATAGGCAATGCATTTGTTAATATAAAAAATACATAAAGAATTTGGTGCAGCTTCTTATCGTAAAGTCATTAATTAAGTGCAATATCGTAGGCGAAGTGTATACTAACCGTTTCAATAGCAAGAACTTATTTCTCCTTACTGCAACCTATTCATTGCACATAAAAGAACATAAAATAGATTTTGAAAGAAGCATTTTATAGTTAGGTGTCCTTTTACTAATGACAATAATTTATCAATGACAACATCCTGAAATTATGACAAAATATACCAATATATAAAACCGCATTTGCCCACATGGTAATTAAAATATACAACCATTACCATTAGTAATAACAATTGTATTATGCCCAGATAATTGCCTAGAGCAACACCAGTTCTAAATCTGCAATTATGATGTTTAGAACAATTTGGTTTCCACAAGCGCCAAACGTACAAACATATTTCCTTCTTACAGGATTTTAAGAACGATTATTTTGTGAACTACAATAAATAGATTTTTAGCTTTATACACTTTAATGTAGTCAAAAACATAACAATTTGTAACTGTATGTTTTAAATAAAAATATTTTGATCAACATATTGATTTTGTTTTTATTATTGAATAATGTCTCATAGTGGACACACTTGTTTGTTTTGATAAAGATGTGTTCGTGATTCGCTGATGACAAAAATATGATTTTGTTCATAATGCAGTGTCTAAAATCTAGAAACGATATATGCCATTTACTTTTTTTGTTCTAAAACTGCATTGATACTATTTTGATAATTTTCTTTGACCTCCATCATTATAAGTTTATTGTCCTAAAGCATTTGTTTGATTATATAATGTGAAATGCATACATTCTTAAAGCAACACGAAGAAAATCATTATTTTTATGTGCTTTCTTGTTGAGTATTTCAAACCAAAAGAATACTTTTCAAACAACACAAAACTTTGCACCACCAGATGGTATTTCTGACTTTATTTTCAAATAACACATTTGTCAATCTTTAGACAGTATGTCAATAACTGAAGGTTAAAAGATAAAATGCATTTTGTTTTATCATTAGTAACTGGTGTTTTGCCAAATTCCTGTCGGACAGATAAGTGCATAATTTATTAATGTGTACTT